ACGCCACTTATGGAAAGGATAACTAGATTACGCCGTTTTTTATCGTCAATATTTGCGGCATAAATGAGGGGCGATAAGGACATCAAGAAGGGCAATGGTTGGTAAGATACCAAAGAACAGAAAACGGTACGAATATTTCTTATCGCCCCCGAAGTTAGGTCTGTAATGTAACTTTTTGTTTAAAACATAGACACCAATGGGGTAGCATGGTGCATTCTGGGATAGTTTTGAGGGTATTTGGAGAGTTTGTCCTGGATTCGATGCGTTTTAAGACTTGCGCGCAAAATGGGCATTTAAGTGTATACTGTAAAATAATATGCATTTTTCACTTCCAAAAATAATGCCTGTCGAAATATAGCACCCCCTTCTGGAGGTTAGTACTCCTTTAAAATAGTGATAAGTGTGCTACTACAAATAATGTACCTTTACTCGTGAGGTTCAACACAACTAGTCTTTACATAATAGTGTAACAGAGAGTCTTATCGACATAGAATCCTACTAGCTTGCATATGTGGTACCATTCTACCAAGGGTATCGGATTAAATTTGAACATAGAAGTAGCTGCTTGTCCGTGACCATATTTCGATCTTTCTCTTCTTGTCTTTCCTTTTAATTTCTATGACTAACGGAGTAGTGTGATTAGACATCATACAGTTCTCTTCTATCTTTCTGTTCTTCTCTTACTTTCTTGGTTTTAAACGCGAAGCTGTTCTATATAACGACCTAACGCTCCATACCTCACTCTATCGAACAGAGTACCGCGTAAAAGAGCGCGCCGCTTCCGGGTTTGCTCAGTTGTGCTCTAAACGTCGTGGCAGGCGGACGCAAAACACGCCCCGTAATATGTTACAAATAAAGGCAATATTTTGAAAAAATTGTTTGTCTTGCCTTATAATATGATTGTATTACATATGACGTTACCTCCATTACGTATACATTAGACGATTCTTATTGTAGTGACTAAAGTTTGACATGAAAGCGTGTATATAATATGCCGGGCGGCCGCGGGTCAGAAACGATCCCGCCGAAGTGAGAATAGGCGTGATCCGGCGTGGCACATCACATTTGAGAGGAGGCAAGACTTCAAGCACTGATGGACAAGTGGAAAGAAGCCATGGAGGTGTTTGCCGCAGGGGAAGATTGCCGCGGAGACTGCGGCAACGCCGCGTTTCGCCACCACTGGCTGGACGTAATACCGGTACGTGCGTAAGTTTCTCTGGGTAATTGGAATCATTACCCAAAAGATATTACTTTATTTCAGCCATATGTAATAAATTTCTAGTGGTTATAAGAAGCAACCTTCTTTGAGAAAGCCCAAATGTAATCATGATAACGCTGAAGTTCTTTCTTTCTTTCTTTCTAACGTCAAAGGAGTAATGACTCCGGCAACCACCTAGGTCCTCCTCCCTCAAGCATGTCCAATAATGTCTTCAGACTCTTCATTGTTATGACTCCCATCTTAAGCTGTGTCATACGTCTTCTGCTATCCCCACGAAGGTACACTCGTCCTCCCTCTCCTCTCTTGATTCCCTTCTCTTCAAGTCTCGTCATTGACTAAGTAGTTGGACCGTTGTGACTTGACAGACAGTTCTTCTGGATTATATCCACAACATCGGGCACAGTCAACTTTATGTCACCAAAGGGTACGGCAATTCCGGCCAATTTGTCTGCCACCTCGTTGTAATAAACACCCGCATGACCAGGGACATAGACGATGTTAAGAACGCCTTTTATAGCCATCAGAAGTCGAAGAACGTCGGGATCGTTCGGTAGGCTTTCCGGAAATGATCGGAGCGCTTTCGGTCGGGCTTCGGTAATCGTGACGCTACCGAGCGTTCCCGACGGCGTTAGCGGACATATACAAGATGGCCGCCCGGTTGTGCTGACTAGCTATTTTAGTACTTTTCTGTCGCGCTGTGGAATACTTAGGCTGATCTAAACATCAGCAACCCGGCCAATTGTGGAGTTATATTGTAGGGAAGCTCGGGACAGCAAAAAAACGGGTCAAAAACGGAGCATTGGGCAGCCAACGCGAAATGTGCAGTTCTGCCAATGGATCTTTCCACGACTCTTGCAGAGGGTAATGCAATGTTAGCCCGAATCAAGAGTCGCCACGGCTAGGAGCTGACAAGACTTCTGTCTTCTTCGACATCATGCGTATCGAGGAATATCATAGGCGGAACAAAAATCCCACAGCAGTTCCTGTCAAGTATCTGCTAGCCAGAGAGAGGAGATAAGATCTGGAGCTAAAAGCTTCAATCAGGGCTCAACGATTTTACAAACTTTGTCTTTCTCTCGCCACCAGTTACTCGTCTTTGGGCAAAGTGGGGGAGGGGGGTGACGCGTTAATCGTACGTTAGATAGAAAGGATAAATATATATCTGTTGATACAGTGGGTACATTTCAATGGAAGGAGTGGTTTTTATGGGTTTTATTGCCTTAAGGGCGCCAATGACGTCACCGGCCCCGACCTCATGCGCTTGTTCGACGCACCTGCGCGAGAGATGTAGCCTGGCCCTAAACTTTCCCTGCTCTTTATTTCCTGTCTTTCGTAAACCCCACAAAACACTCTCGCAATACATTTCAATGGAGGGAGTCCCTTTTTAAGGGTTTTATTGCCTTAAGGGCACCATTGACGTCAACGGCCCCAACCTTATACGCTTGTTCGACGCACCTGCGCGAGAGGTGTAGCCTGGTCCTAAAATTTCCCTTCTCTTTATTTCCTGTCTTTCGTAAAGCCCAAAAAACCCTCTCGCAATACATTACAATGGAAGGAGTCCCTTTTTAAGGGTTTAATTCCTTAAGGGCGCCGTTGACGTCACCGGCTCCAACTTTATGCGCTTATTCAACGCAACTTCGCCAGAGTTGTAGCCTGGCCCTAAAACTTTCCTGCTCTTTATTTCCTGTCTTTTGTAAACCCCAAAAAACCCTCTCGCAATACATTTCAATGGAGGAAGTCCCTTTTTAAGGGTTTTATTGCCTTAAGGGCACCGTTGACGTCACCGGCTCTAACTTAATGCGCATGTTCAACGCACCTACGCCAGAGTTGTAGCCTGGCCCTAAACTTTCCCTGCTCTTTATTTCCTGTCTTTCGTAAACCCCCAAAAACCCTCTCGCAATACATTTCAATGGAGGGAGTCCCTTTTTAAGGGTTTTATTGCCTTAAACGCGAAGCTGTTCTATATAATACCCGAATACTCCAGAAAACTCCATGCCTTGCTCCATCGAACACAGTACCGCGTAAAAGAGCGCGCCGCTTCCGGGTCCGCCCAGTTGTGCCCTGGACGCCGTTAGAGACGGACGTACGGGGAGCGCTGTTGCACAGCCTCCTATTATTTCCCGTATTGCCGTTTAAAATCGGCACACGTAACGTCCTTTCATATATATAACGTTATTTATATTATATGTAAAGTTACGTATACTATACTGTAAAATACACGATAGTTCCCTTGCATACACCACACGATTATCATGCCACAATAAAGAGGGCCTTTTTACAAAGACTTGGTTACCTTGTCCCATTTTTGAAAATTTCTACAAAAGTCCGCCTACGTCATCTGATACGCACGTCACTATCAGACGATAATTTCCCTCGCTGGTGGTTGACTGAAAATATCATGGCGGATACGCCGAAGCGCGCGCGCTTCTACGAGAAGAGGCGTGTGGAGGGACGTAAACCAGCCAAGTCCATCGCGATTGAAGTTGAAATGGGTGATGAGGCCAGGCTAACTAACCTGATGGACAGCTGGAGGAAGGCGAGGGACGGCTTTGTTGTGAAAGGAGACACCAAAACAGGAAATGCCGATTTCCTCGAACATCTACTGGACATGTACCGGTACGTTTCCCGTAAGTTTCTCCTCGTCCCGCAAGCGCTTTTGTGACTATCCAAAATCACAGGCTGATTTCTTTCCTTACAACAGCGTCAGTAGATTAGCAAAGTCATTTCCCTGACGAACATTATGATCGGCTGTAAATATTTAGCTGTCAGAACAACAGAACTTTGCGATTATTGTGGTCATCAGTATCACCCGAGGTCATGAGTGACTCGGGGTAAAGGGGCGGAGGTCACAGTGTAAAACAACAGTGTCAGCCGACATAAACTTTGTTGACATCGATAACGTACCTGCCGAGCAAGACAAGAAGTTCACAACATTTCAAGTCCAATCTCTGAGCCGGAAACCAAGAGGAACTTATCCAACTCGAGAAGTTTTAATCAGGGCCAAACGAATAATTTAAACTTTACTCATCATACTTTGGGCACCGTCTTTATGGGGAGGGGGGCAAACGTTACTAAAGTGATGGCGTATAACGGTTACATGTGTCAGTAGCTTGAATCGGGATGTGGCCAAGTTAGGTTTATAACTTTGCACGTTGTATAAGCTGTTAGCAGCGTTCAAAATGTCGTAGCATCCTGGCCCAACTCTCCATCGTTACACAACATCTTTTCGATGTTGTAACACAAGGTCGTCACCCTTGTGTTACATGTTATATATTATATAGTCGGTATGTTGGGACAGACCTTGCTATAATATGTTTGCTCCTTATCTTATGATAACTGCAGCAGTTCATAGCACCTGTTGGACTCTAAGTCTAACTTTAGTTGTGGCATACTGCTGATAGGTGTAAGGTTTATTGGGATTGACTGTTGAAAATGGAGAAATATGGAGTAGGATAAGAGTCACCAGTACGCATTTCTTGTCTCCATTGTAGGAAATCCCATGAAACAGATGGACTCACCCTCCTTGCCAATGTGGCAAATACACCCAGGCCTACTGCACACCCCAACTTCGCGAAAAACCTTCACACAGCAGCTAACCAGGAGGACGAGTTGTTCATCACAACCCAAAGCTGTGTGTCAACCCTGTTAGCACAGCTGGGGGCATGTCCTGCCTTGAAAGGGGATAGAGGGGACACGTGTGGAGGGGAGCTCTCCATCAAGGAGATGGAGCGGTATTGTGTAAACTTACATTCAGAGAACCTACAACAGTGGCCAAGGTCTTCTGCTTAGTACAGGCTAAATAAAAGACTACAGAGTATAGACAATAAGTTTTGATGATCCTTGATGTTGGAGTGGTGTGTTACATCTCCATGTTGTTATTTAGTGAAATGTTGTTATTTAGTGTTAATTTAATTAGTGCCCTTGTGGACATTCTTCAGTCCATCAGGGTAGTAATACAATGATGTTCAAGGCAATAAATGAAGTCAGAACTAAGGATAAATTTTGAAGAAGCAAATACAATATGACTTTATGCATAATACAACTTCTTGTTTCTTTCATATATCTATGCCATGCCAAGATCACTTCCATGAATATTTTTAGCACTGACCAATATAATCATACAGTTTGTGAACTAATTTCCAGGTATGGACATGTCATTGTGGCCACCATCACCTGTCCAAAAAAGCACACGTGGAAGTGGCATAGTTCTTCATCTGTGGGCGGGAAGTATTATGTCAACCAGAGGGTTGTCCACGCCTTCACGTCTACTGGCATGGCCCCGGTCAAGTATGAGACCTTCTGTGAAGCTGCCAAACTCGGGGTGAACGGGGAGGCATATGTCAAAAACAGTATGTATCCAATGGCTATTATATAGTGTTTTAAAATCTTGTTTACTTTACTTGTGTTCAATATAACAATGTTACATTTTTACAGAATGTTGCCTTTTACTCCACGAGTAAAAGCTATGAAACTGTATTTGCCTTGGTTAGTTACAGTTACAGGTTGTTCCTTGAGATGAACCCTTGGGAGCCAGGTAGCAGATTAATTGGAAAATGCCTTAGGCCTTGTCTGACATCCAGGCTACCATTGTACTTTCAGTAGACGTTCAGCAATAGAATAAACATCCAAATATTATAAGTTTTGTATGCTTTTACATGTATTGTACAGTGTATGAGAAAAGAGGTTACACCGCACTTATCGACAAGCACGCTGCTGCCTTTTCAATGTTGGATTTGTATTCACATCTCTGTTCAACTATCAATTTTCACCCTTCTCATAGTGATCATGCAGTGATCATGATGTGTTACATGATCAATATTTTTTATTAATTTTCAGTACAGTATATTACAGTTTGTTCTGAGGTGATGTCTGCAAATTTTCTTATTACACTGCAATCATGCTTTCTATTGCAACAGGTCATGATAACAGATGCCAGACACGACAGTGTGACCAATTGCGAACATACCACTGTCTCTGCCCTAGGGATGAGGTAAAACATATGGCTAATATTTGTTATGGTAGACTGATACAGAATGCACTTGGTTTGAACTATGAAGTCATTATTGTGGTGTTTTCACACTCGGTCTGTGCTTCAGTTTTCTTGTTTGGTGATACACTGTATTACAAAGCTTTGATTAGGATATGCAATTGTACTGATTCCTGTTCATTTTTGTTTTCAAAGTAACTCCAAGGTGATCGCTTTCTCCACCATTTCAAGGGCAACTGAGATGAGTGCCCAGGCACGAGAAGCCAAGGGCACAATGCATGTGATGAATGACTTGGAGAAGAAAGGAAATTACTGTTTTTATCTTTGATAATCAACACTAGCTATAGCACCACCAATCATGCATATTCTGTTTCCTTGCCTTACTTTTCAGCAGACAATGCCTTCTGTGTTTTCCTTGTTTGTGTGTTACCCAATAAGATGTCTAGATGTACCTAAAATACTACATCCATTTTTGATGTGTTAGGCTTGAGAGTTGTTGAAGGAGCACATGACAACCTCCAAGTAATCAACAGGCTGTATAAAGAGAAAGGGATGAAGAATTCAAATGATACATGGCATGGTAGGGAAAGAAGTTTGAGCTGATATTTCTGATTATTTTTTTAATTATGCGCCTTTTTAGCTAGCTATAGCAGGAACAAATTCTCAGTACTAATTCATTTTCCCCAACAGCAACAAAGAAAGTTGCAAAAGACATGAGGAAGATAGCCACCGGGGCCCAACGGGATATGGGGAAGACATGGCATCCAGAGTTGCAAGACAAATGTAATAGTTCTTTGTTGACAACAGTTGACTGAAAGTGTTAATATGGTCACATATAAGAAGTACATGACAAAAAATTGTATTATCTTCTGTTGAGTTTTTTGCTAACTACCAATGTTTTTCTTCAATTACAGTGCCTACATCTAATTCATGAAGTTGATTTGCATTAAAAAGATTCATTTTTTTTATAGTTTTATTAGTTGTTTAACTTTTTCCATGTTATACACTAACAAAGACATTTGTGTGCTACTTACAAACAGTCAACAAATTTCAGGTGCGTCCACCAAAACAGGAATCTACTGTGCAATGAAAACTTGTGAAGGGAGTGCGGACAAGATAAGAGCTACCATTTTGAACATGGTTAACCACTACATGGTGAGGTTATGGAAGTTTAAGACAGTTTCTCAGCAGATACATGTAATGATGGTTTTTATGTGAGGAGCATCAGTAGCAAAATTGTTGGCTTGGGACTGTATCTTGAAATCAATATTCATACATTAACAGGTAGTGTCTGATATACAAGTTTTGTATTTTATCAGGGAAACCATGAGCAGTGCCATGCCGGCACACCATGCCAATCAAGCGTGTGACGACCGAGGAAGGTCCTATTGAAGGATCCAGACGCCATCGAGGCATATACAAAGTTCTTGAAGTCAACAGAGGTTTACAAAAGAGCAGAACACTACATCATGGTGCTTGATCCTTACCTGTACCTTGTTGTTGAAGTGAGAATTGTGAAAGAATGGACAAGGCATTCTCTTTCAAGTCTTGTTGTGACCATTTGTTCTCTAAAGCTAACAGCAAAAATTCTGTCTGCAGTATAAATATTTCTTCACCCTTCATATTGTCATTTGCTTACCATATTGTTTATCTATTTCAGACTGGTATGAATCTTTAACTTATTTCCTTTCCAGTGCAGAGACACCTATATGGTAGAGTCCTTTAACAATGTCATCCTGATCTACGCACCCAAGCGTGTACATTTTGGCGACAGTGTCTTCAACATGAGGGTGCAACTTGCAGTTTTGGACTGGGTATGCCATGAAGGCAGATGTTAGAAATGCCATTGTTGAGTTAAAGGTCACCTAGGCAAACTAACTTTTTCTCTCCTTTGTTCAATAAAGGTTGAGGCAGTTCATCCACTGTTACATGTGTGCTGCAGTTACAGTAATTTTTGTTCATTGCATGTCCTGTTTATCAATACACAAGTAAGTGGTCATGATTTTTACTATTTAGGAAATATGTAACAATGTATTTCAGTTTACCAGACTGATGAATTTGCAGTGTCTCTTTCAAGTCAGACACATTCTTGCTGGTTGTGTATGTTAGTTCTATTGCTCTGGCAATTGTGTATGTAACTCCTTACAGTGCAACATGAAGGATTACTCAATATTATTCAAACAGTATCTTATTTCTCCATTTCACAGAACACAAACGTGCTGAGGGACACCTACTGTGTGAAACACTACCAAGACATCAGGAGACCGTCACGCATTGCTCCAGTGCGTGTGCTGAAGCCTAAAGACACTTCCTTCAGGGACAACATTTGGAGGGATTTCTACAACCTGCATTACTAGTGTTGTCCAAGCCTAGTAACATATTGCGCTTTATTGTAAATGGTAGTATAGAGCCAATTCCGCGGCACTGTGTGGGTTTTTTCTCCATGTTTGTAATACTTTTTAATTATTTAGAAGAAAAGAATGCCCAGTAACAAAAGTTCAAAAATTTTCAAAAATTTGAAAATGAAAATTTGAATATATTTGAATTCATTTAGATATTTCTGAAACATTTTAAAAGTGGCTGTACAAAGATCTCTTTATCTATAAATTTGAACTACCCAGGTGTTTCTTTCACTATTCAAAATATTTAGAAATATTTCAAACAAATAACCAAATGGTAGATGTGGGTAATTGCCCCCATAAAAGTAGGTGCTAATCCGACTCTTGTCTTCTTCTGTATATTTTTAGATTTCACTGCTAGATATTCAAAATATTTCCAAATTATGAACTGTCTTAGACAAACAATTACAAAGATTTCAAAACAGTTCAAAATGAGGAATTGACTCTAGTAAGGTAGGAATATTGAACAATTTGAACATTGAGTAATGTATCTAGTAATTGAAGTTGGCCTGTTGTGGTAGACTACATGTATATTCTTTTAATTCCCAGCTCTCAGTGCCTCTTGTGCCCCATGTATGGGATGTTGGGAGGGTTGGGGTATCTGCTCCGCACATTCTGAAACAAATGCAAAAATTAATGTGCAGTAATACTAGTACTAGTAGTAGTATATGATTTCAGAATTTTAGAACAATTCATGAACTGTACTGTACAGCATTAGATTTACTAGCTGCTTTAGAAACAGAATGTGGACTTATAAACAAAAGTGATGTTTATAATACTGTTGGCATAAGCACCAATGTTTTACATGTACTTACTGTCAACACACAATCTGGCATGACTTCTCGAATGTCTCGCCGCCCACATCCTCTTGCCACCTTCTGCTGTAGATAACCTGGCAAGGTCCAAAACCCACGTTTTTAGTTCCCTCCAAAATGCCTATATTCTGCATGCCTCTTCGCATGATTCAGGACATGTGCCGGCCTCTGCCCAGACCTTGCAGACCTGATGTCAGTGGTCACACATGGTGTTTGCCAACAGTGCTGGCACGTGGCCATGGCTCCTTGAAAAGTAAAAAAAAATACAAGGTAAAGAAATATGCTCTGAACCGAGGGTAATTT